TATGCCTAACTTTTTATGCTCTATCGTTTTTTCTATTGACACCAAGAATGGGTTTCTGTGGGCAAAAGTGTCCAATCATCTGTTCTTAATCGATTTTGACTACTATAGTGCGACTCTCAAAAAGCAAAACTGCAAAAGACTGAGAACCTTCACTAAAAGCGAATTCTTGTCATCAATAAATCTGAAGAGAGCTTCTAATAGAAATAAACTGTAACTCAAATTAAAATTTAATCGGAACTTAAGCAAACCATTACAATATGACGAAAAGAAACGAAAAGAATTTGAAAAGTCTAATAGTATTTTCAGACAATTACTCCGATTTATGATATAAATAACAAAAGCTTTCAGTCTGCTGGGGAATCATAACCAACGTGTAGACTCTGATAAAAGGAAAGTATTCACTAAAATCGGCAAAAAAATGAACTCTTGGGAAATCAAATTTTCTCATGATCAAAATGATTTCGTGGGAACGTGCCATCGGAAAGGGTCGGGTTAGTTGAAAAATCGGGACATTTTAAAATTTAGATTGCAAAAATGACATCAAGCAGACATTACGATAATGATGATGGGGTAAAAGATACTGGTATTTCTCTAATAGTAATCGCACCCTGCCGAGCTGAGTTCACATCTATTTTACGGTTTCCGCAGTTTTCGCAGAAGCTCAAATACCCAACCCCCCATAAGATCTCATCGTCAGCTACATTTTCCTGACCCCACATCGATAGGTTCTGATAAGCGGTTCGGGGAGATTTCAGAGCTGATCAGGCAAGCTAAGGATCAGTGCTTAGGGACCAGCTTCGGGGAATCAACTTCTCCTTTAGTTACCAGCTTTTAAGCTTTGTTCGACGGGTTACGGTCGATTGCAGCCGAGTTGATGACCATCTGTACTTTCCAATTCTTTCCGGTGAAGCTCACCGCACAAATCCCCACTAGATCCCAGCCTCCGTCAGCGGCATTTTCCGAACCCACATCGATAGGTTCGGATAAGCGCTTTTCGAGACTTCGAGAAATTTAGGTAACGCTCAAAGGGCCGCTACCAAGAGAGAACGGTACATAAATTGAACCGTCTTGTGTGCATAAAAATCACTTGTAATGGGTGGACGAGATCGTGTACTGGTTGTTGTCGATTCGTGAGACGCGCACATGCACTAAAACGATCCAGGGTATTCCCGAGCTGTGAAAATTCTTTCTTTATCATTTTTGCTTTCTATCTGTTATTCTAGCTAAATGATATCTATTTCGCTTCTTTTTCAACTCACAATCGAGGGAAAGATATATGAGAAGCACCATTTATTCGGCATTCCGTGACTCCGCGTATACCGTAAACGCATTTGATTCCCCGCGCGAAGTGATTGGGGAACTCGATTTGGTTCTTTCGGACCTAAAAAAGTGTCACCGGATTACTGTAGCTTTTTTAGCCTTATATAGTTGAAAAGTAAAAAGGATCAAGATCTTACTGCCATTTTAAAGCACTCAATGAATAGACTTTGTTCGTGATCGGACCAGTGATCAGCGGGCTTCGTCACTGCGTTGCTTGCTGGATTCACGATCTGAATCAATTCCTTGAAACTGAGAATGTTTCAAAGGCTGGAAAATCGTCATCATAAGCAGCTGGTAGCATCAAAACTCACCGAATTAGGTAAACGAGCGCTCAAGCCGTACTCAAAAAACCAGACGCAGACAACATAATCTCGAGTACGCACCTCATAAGTCACTGAACTTATTTCTTTTGGAAATGTTTAAAAGTATACATTTATTCAACATGAATAATTACTTCCTAAAGATGTCCTAATTCGCGTCAAAGATGTTCTGAATACCCCTAAAGATGTTCCTAATACTCCTAAAGATGTTCTAATACGCCTAAAGATAAGTTCTAGAATACGCCTAAAGATGTTCTAATACGCCCAAAGATGTCTGAATACGCCTAAAGATGTTCTAATACTCCCTAAAGATGTTCCGTAATATTCTAAAGATGTTCTAATACTCCTAAAGATGTCTAATACGCCTAAAGATGTTCTAATACCCCTAAAGATGCTCTAATCGGCTTAAAGATGCTGAAGAATGTGACACAAACAAACCAATTTAACACACAACCTTAAAGATGTTACAGAGAAAATCCTGGTATGGGGGGAAAGATCCAAATTTTCTAGCTGGGAACAAAACCCCGTGACCTTCCGACTAAGATAAAAGACTCCTAATCAAGACTTAACCAGTCTGGCTATGATTTACTGCCATGACGGCCGTTTGCTAAACTTTAAGTTGACCTAACGGACAATCATACTGTTGGTACGGGAACAGGAATTTCCGCTGCTCTTGACTCGACGCCATCACTTCCAAACGATCAATTTGCGATGAAGGAATAGCAAAGATGTTGTTCGCCTGAATATTCATTTACAAAAACGAAATCTAAATTTCGGAAGCGCTAATTCTTTTAATTCTATTTCTATGAGAATGAGAAATTTGTGGCTCACCTCTTGATCCGGTTGCTCGTTCGGGTCCAACCACTATATTTATATCCCCTTGCAGTCCCAATTGAGACTTAAGAGTTGTAGTGAATCCCGGCAAAGCCCGATCCAGTGATTGGTCACCAAAATTGATTAATTGCTACCGAAATTGTCTTTTAAAACGAACATTTTCTATCGTTATCCCATTGATCTCAGCCGAATGCCGTGCCTTCGATTATTTCTGATCACCGCGTTTCGAATCGTCGGCTTTTTCATCAAATCATTGTAAACGACGTCGATACCATTCCAGAAATTATTGCTGAAAGAGAGCATAATTATAGCAAACCTTTTAAAGCATAATTATAGCAAACCTTTTAAAGCATAATTATAGCAAACCTGATCTCCAAATTGTTGAACGTGTGATAATTCCAACTGACTTGCAAAAGCGGCCGCGAATTGTGGTGCGTGGAAGTCAAAGAGACCGGCTGAAAGGTGATTCGAAAAAGTTATTGAGGAATTGAAAGAATATTGAAATTATCATCTTCTAAACACTCAACAAAATAGCCACTTTTCAATCAAACAATTGCTCATCGCTCGGTGTCCGGTGACAGTGTACGGATTGGCCAACAGCGAATAGCGGATACCAGCCCAACGCGGGGGGAAACACAGCGAATACCTGGGAATGGGAACGAGATAAGGAATGGCTAGACATGAGAAAATTCATCCGAAAGCTAATTCTGCTTTAGTTTTCTTGTTTCTTGACTAACTTTTCTACAAACGGTTTACGACTTGGAAACGAGGAAACAAACGAGGAACTGAGTCCGAGAATTTTCTCAAATCTATCTTGTGCGCTAATATTTTCCGTTCAACGTCCACAGTTCAAGCTCAGTTTTACAGGGATTATGAGTCAGGCAAAAAATAGCTCAATGATAGGACCTCACTCTTTCGACACCCGGCTCCAACATTATGTCGCTGACCGTCGAAACGACAACGAGTGATATCGACCTATAAAAAGTTGTTTGGTTTTGTTTGGTTTTGTTTATTTGTTTCTTTGTTTATTTGTTTCTTTGTTTGTTTCTTTGTTTGTTTGTTCTGCTTGATTTGCTAAAATCAACAGAAACAGCTCGGTTAACACTTCTAAATCACTTTTAAATCACCTCATTCTCCTCGCATCGAATATTGTCCATCAGCATTGGCAGATCGCCAGCCGACGGGAAGATTCGCCAATTCTCAAAGTATCTGGATCCATCACCAAGCCGAGTTGATTGCAAACGGTGAGCGCGTGATGAGCTGTCCACGAACGATTGCAAACCGTGCCCCATTCACCGTCCACGAAAACCTAAAAATGATCAAAATGACAAATAGTTTCCAGTGTTTAAAAGTTACTCAATTTTTACAGCTGAATCCTTTTTGATTTCAATTTTTACCTCTAATCGTCCCTCCGGCGTCTGATCACCATCTCCATCAATCAATCTCACTTTGTCAGGCAGCTGCAACTCGAAGGGTGCTGCCGTGAAAAACGACTCGCCGATTTGAGCCAAAAGTAGCCGAGTTGTAATCCCTCGCGACGACATGGCACCCTAAAAATAAAAACTTAAATGAAATGTTTATCGTGATTAGTGATCGTTAGTGATTTATGATTAGTGATCGTTAATGTCATACGTCAATCATTGTCATACGTCAATGATTAGTGATCGTTAGTGATTTATGATTACCTCAACTAAGACACCGACGCCTGGCGCGAACTCGAAACTGCTACCAGAGGCGGATGCCAAGTCTAGTACCTGGTGTAATATGAAGATCATCTGTGACAGTGTATCTAAATTTTGCTTTAGATTCCAAATCTAAACTATTAAATGATTCTAAACTATTAATGAGTACCTTCCCAGTGGCAAATCATGATTTTCGTAGACGGTGCCCCCGATTTTGAATGGTTTAGCGCTTGTTTGAAAGTGACTAAAAATATTTACAATATAAAGAGCCACAATTGAACAAGCTACCGTATATGCTCTTGCAATCGAGTCATATGTGGAGATCGTTGATTGCAAACACTTGAGTAGGGATCGATTTCGATTGAGGCCAAGGAGTAACGGTAGAACTAAAAGCAACGATGTTTCCAAAGGATAAACTAACTAAACTATAGCCAATAAAACGGCTACAAATACTAAAAATTGATCTTTAAATACCCGATCAAAGATTTTCCGAAGAAATTGTGGTGCCGACGGGGTTCCCCAGTTGTTCTCAGTCGTTGATCACTGCGCGTGCTCGCTCAACTCCGTCCTACCCAAACTCGGCTGCCGGGTTTTTTGAAGCAATTTCGATGCAAGACAACGTTACTGAAAAAAACAAATTGATTACTATAATAATTAGAGCACTTTTAACCTGTTAAAACAAAGAATTCACCTGCTCGACACGACCACCGCCGCATACGGAGTAGACCGAGGCGGTAGATGGGGAAACGGATTGAAAACCCGATTCTCACGAATCTCATTCTGTTGATTGAACATCATTCGTTGATTTGGCGCATCTTCATTCAACCCGATATTCACAATATATTGTCCTTGATTGAATTTGAAAGCGTTCTTCGAGATGTTTGCCTAAAATTTGATCGATCAACGAGCTCAAGAAGGTTGATGGCTATTCAAGAAGGTTAGCCTTGCACGCTGAGGCTTTTATTCTATGATCTTGATCCACCATATTTGCATATAGATTTGAGAGTTGCGGGTGAGCCGAGTTTTTGATAAGCAACGCTGTGTCGTTGTTGAACATGAAGAGATTGCTGGCGATGATTGTGTGCATGTTGACATGGGGCAAGATTCGGAGACCCATTCCGCCATTTCCTGAACAAGATCATCAGGATTCGACTTTTTCTATTGAGATTTTCGATGGGTCCGTATCGATATTCGATAGTGATTTATATGTCGTAGCCGATGAAGGATTTCAGCCAAAGAAGTCTCAGACTTCTTCGGCTAGCCGATTAAGTCTCAAAATGAAATATTGAGCTAGTGTATTGACTCTAGTCAATACCACAAACTCAAGTTCTCCAAAAGGCTTAAAAGCTAAGAACGCATTCTAGTTGCAGTTACATTTTGCATTTTTCATTGCAAGTTGCATTTTTCGACTTTTTTCGATTTTTTGAAATGATCCTGGTAGACCATCAAAAACTTGAATTCTCCATCGGGAACGGATTGAAGATCGATTAAATCCACCTGGCATCTCTCGTTGAAATTGAGTCAATACATAACTCAAGATTTCATTTTTGAGACTTAATCGGCTAGCCGAAGAAGTCTGAGACTTCTTTGGCTGAAATCCTTCATCGGCTACGACATATAAGATACTTATCGATCGATAATAAAGTAAAGTAAGAAAGAAAGGTAAAGAAAGATTTCTGAAGAGGGGATTGAAACTGTCGACCTTCTACATTTTGCAGATGCTCTAACCACTGAGCTATTCAGTATTTTTTGCCAGAGAAGAAAGAGAAAAGAAAAGAGGAAGAAAGAGGAAGAAAGAGGAAGAAAGATAAAGAAATACCTACCGTAAATACTGTAATAGTATCCCACCCCGCCTCGTACAGTCGCATAGTCGCAAAAGTTTTTTAGTATTTCATTTTTTCTAAAGCACCCGTACTTTCAAAATGAGAGAATTTGGTATCAAAAAATAGCCGAAATCCAGGGCCATTTTTGGATGCCAAAGATAATGATGGTGTGGAGTGCAGTGTAGTCTGCTTAGAACGTGTTTTCGACACTGGCGAGCATCAATGCGCTTAGGTATCAAAAAATAACCCTGAATTTCAGCTATTTTTTGATACCTAAGCGCGCATTGTAACATAAACCAGGGTCGAGAAAAACTCGTTCAAAGCTAGACTACGCAAATATCTCCAAACCGTCATTATGGAGGTGGGGTACTATAACAGTATTTACGGTAAGCTTATGGGAAAAAACTATTTTGAAGAAAAAGAAATTAAAAATATGATAAGAGCCATGAAATTCTAATCCAAGACTTTTCAGGGCAGAGAATCTGAATCCGATCTTTATTTTTGCAAAAAAGTGTCAGATAGAATTGTCGGGATAGAAAAGCAACATAAAAGAAGATTTTTGGATTATGGGATTCATGATTACTAACCGGTTTAGATACGATGTAAAAACTCATGTTTAACCCTTGTTTCCAGTGATAAGTCACTAATCGCTCTCGAAGTCTACCATGAATTGACACGAAAAGATCTCGAGCGCCGGATGGTAGAGATTCTCTGCATCCCCACCCAACTGATTTAACACCTTGAAGCAATAGTTGTTTTCGTTTTCTTACAATAATGCCTAGCAGAAATAATAATATCTTTTCCAACCCAACCTCAACATACAGCCATATTTTTGTTTCCCAGGAATGTTAAATAACTGTAGCTCTTTAAGTTGTAACTTGAATAGGACTGATAAACTAATAAACTAATAAACAAATAAACTACAAACTAAAAACTAAAAAAACTTAATAAATTGATAAAGTTAATAAACTAATCAAAATAATAAACTAAGAAACTAAGAAAACTAAGAGATTAATAAAACTACAAACAAAGAGAAAACTCAATAAAACCAATAGGACCGACAGACTAATAAACTGATAAACTAATGAAACTAATAAACTTTTTAGCTATTATACTTTTGGTCTAATCCTTCAAGGTGATTCTTAAAGCAAAAGCGCCGACTAGAACTCCCAAGAGATTCTCGCTGACTATCGCTCGGTATGTGAAATATATTGTTGGTTTGGCCTGACCCTGTGGAAGATTAAAAATTTCATGAAAGAAGCTCTCAAGAATGCTTATTTCACTTCTATTTAAATGTAAAAGTTTGGTTCTTTTGCTGGTCGTACTCTTTGAAAACGATCTCTCGATGCAAGTAATGATGGTATGAATATCTTTAATAAAGAAACGCGGCTCGTGGAATTGCGGGGCTTCGCCTTTGATCCCGAAACATTTTTATAGCCTGCAACTGATACTGGCACCGAAGAGTAATTCGGACCTCGAAAGTTTGAATTGTGAAACACATTGGAAAAACTGAAAGCGGGAACATTGCAAAGTATCAGCTCAGCTCTTTCCTTTTGGGTCCAGCCTGCGACCTCCACTTCCAATCCTCAACGGATCTCTCTGCTACAGAGTCTCGCTGAGGTGCAATCGATCTCCAGCAGCAAGAAACCATTCTAAACCAGCCACCTGTTCCTGTTCCATCTGTCTCATTAATCAGCATTAAGTTGCTCTGTAGCCCCTAAACTGAGTGGTTCAAGGAGCCAGGGGCCTGAGTGATGACAAAGAGGAAGTAAACAAAGCTCCATGTTCATTAAAAGGTTACTTAATGCACTAAAAATCGGAATATAGTTATGGGATTTAAAATGTACAAGAAAAAAAGTCAAACGATACTACGGGATCGAATTTGATCGCGGAATGTGACGGAGCCAAGCGCGCTTCCTGATTGCTACCTCACACTATCTGTCCCTGGCCTGTCTTTGATACTAGTTTTTAATTATATTATTAAGCTTTAATAAGTTCGGCTGTGCTGGGCGCTTTAAGGTGGGTTTACTGTAGTCTAAAAATCAATTTGAGCGCTCTTTAGCTGGACTGAGTTCTCAATGGAAAGTTTAGTCTCCTGGATTTCTGGGGACATCCTTTGATTAATTGTTACTATTACAACTTTATATTTCAGGGTCATTCCCTGAGGAGTCTCTCATTCTGTATTCCTATTCCATTCTATTCGATTATATATAAAACTTCTATACTATATTTCTTACATATAGAACATTCTAATTCTGATTTTCGCGTAATACTATTCGTGAGCGCTGTCGCGATCTTTGCACATCCATCGCCTCCTGATCTCCATTGCTTATGATTTTATGCGACAACAAGAATGGCACATCCAAACCGCTAATATGTTTTTATCTAAAAAGGAAAGTTTAATCAAAAATGGAGTTTTCCTTTGGTTTTTAAACCCATAACAAAGCGTAAATTCGAAAGCATCGAAGCATCCGCCATTACCGAAAGCAATTATAGCCCTCGAGCAAGATCGCCGGAGAAATTCAGGGCAAAATGAGAGAATGGATTAATTTAACGGGGAGACCCGTGGAAAGGAGAAAATTAGTACTCGTAAAACGGACAAGTAAATTTCGGCCTGTTTAGCTTTATTAGCTTATTAGCTGTAGCTTTTATTCCAAGCACTTGCTCAAATTTGTTGACGTCGTAGAAGCCAGGCTTGGACTTCGATCGGGCTCAGGTTTCACAAGTCTGTAAATCAGATCAGGCATTCAAAGCCTAGATCCAGAGGTGAGACTAAGCCTGGCTCCAGCTTTGGAGCTAAAAATAGCTTAGCTATAGCTAGGTCTAGCTAAAAATGTCTTTGGAACAACCATGTTGATCTGGCTTTACAAGCTAAATAGCCTGATTGATCGATTGATCCATTTATCGATTGATCCATTGATCGATCGATTGATTGATCGATCGATTGATTGATCGATCGATTGATTGATTGATCGATCGATTGATTGATTGATCGATTGATCGATTGATTGATCGATTGATCGATTGATTGATCGATTGATCGATTGAGTCCTGACCAAAACTTAGACCAAAACTACATGGACTCTTTCCTAATCAGTTTCAACCGAAAATCAAATACCTATCAAATACCTAAAGTGGGTTAGGAGTTCATAACATATAATAAAGCCACCGAATCGAAATTGACTGCGGTAGACGACATTCAAAATGGGTATCTTCGATAACTCAAGCGCACACCCTCGTGTTCGGGAGATGGAAGCTACAGACTAGGGGAAAGAAATTTAGTAAGAAATAGTGGAATATTTGAGATTACTAGTATAAATGTTGGTCCGATTAGATTACAGTCTATAGCGGACGTCCGATTTAGATTCAATCTAAATCTTATATAGATTGAACAATAGTTGATTTCATAGTTGGGCTTTTTCAGAAAAAGACAGTAACAGACCTTTTGAAAATGCAGAAAACTACAGAAAACGCTAAGAACATGTTTATATTATAAAGCATGTTTATATTATTGTTCAATCTATTAGGTTGGCAACTTAATAATGACGCGTTTATGTAACAAATCATTTATTTAAAAAAACACAAAAGAAGAGCTTTCAATTCGAAAGGTATTCTCCATAGTATCTAGGACTCTTCCCATCTTCTGCGCAACTTCCGGATCCCATCCTCGAAGAACTTGGGAGTTTTTGAAGCGAAGTAGTCATTCACTGCTTTTATGATCCGAGCATGATCATCGATCTTTCCTCCCTCCAAAAAGTGCTTCAGCGACCGAAACAAAAAGTAATCTGAAGGAGCCAGATCAGGTGAATAAGTTGCGTGGGGGCAAAACTTTCCAGCCAAGTTCCTCGATTTTCTTATAAGGATCTTTGCAGTGTGAGATTTTGCGTTGTAGTGTAAAAATCTGACTCTCTCCGGTTTGAGCCTCAATTCCTTCGGGGGACTCGTTAACTCTCATTAATTACTTTGAATAAAGATCAGCATCGACGATTTGGCCAGGTTTCAGCACTTCATAATGCACCAATCCCTTGAAGTTCCACCAGCAACAGAGCATTATCTCTTCCCATGGATATCAGGTTTGGGAGTGGTTAAGGGTCTGCCCAGCAGATAGCCATTGATTTTTGCGTTTAGCGTTCTCGTGTTGATCCACGTTTCTGTCAGAAGTCAAAACCCTGTGAAAAAAGTCGTTTGATTTACATTTTTGTAGCAAAATTGAGGCGACATTGACACGGGCCATTTTGTTGCTTTGGGTCAATTCGTGAGGAACTCATTTTCCAATACGATTCTTTTTCCCAAG